TTGTTGATGCACCATTAATCATGTGTGTCAACACATGAGCCAAAGTGTGAAAAGAGGCATGGATCATTACCACCAGAGGTTTTTTGTAAAACCACTGTAATACCTTGCCTCACTCTATTGAGGTCTCCTCTTGCAAGATGTAAGTGGGGGTTGAGGCACCTGGGAAGAGATCTAAAAACTCCATTGTAGGTGGCTGATAGCTGGTGTCGTAAGCCACCACCTTTGTTCAATAATGTGTATTTGTAATGGCCTCTTTTACTCCTCTTTCAAACGATCTATCTTTTGGTCCAAAAATATGTCCACTGACATCCTTTAACAAGTGACCTTTATCCTTCAGTTGCAGGATTCACCAATAATGTCTGCAAACTTACATTGAATCCAGATGAAAGAACAGGGTCATTTCATGTGGTCTCACTCTTTACTGTTATCCCATCAACTAAGGCAGTTTAGAATGTCAGAAATTGACTACAGCAAAACTTCTCCTTATAGAACAGAACCAGCTTCACCCCAAATTAGATTTGGGCATTGTTAGAACTCGGTCTTATCCCCAAGTATTTTACAGCAAGGGTTTCTACAGACAAAAGCATGGCTGTGTCATGTTAACTCCAGAATTAACCATTATAGCCAAGTAAAACTCTTAGCTCTTTCAAAGGGGTAGCACTTAGTCATTGTTACAGATGTGTGAATGGCACCTGCATCAAAATCACTACAAACCAGTGTTAAATCCTCCCAATTCTTTCCATCTTTGGGCTGAAGGAAGGACAATACTCAGTGTATAAATGCTCAATCAACAATCATTTATTCCATGCAATTCAACACTTTATGAGCATAAACCATCCGGATGGGGAGACATGCATGCAGAGGGACACAGCAAATCTCCAACTGGTGGAGGGTTACTCAAGCTCTTATAACCTCTAGTGGCCTCCACCTAGTCGTAAAAAGCCTAAACTTACATACCTTGTAACTGTCAGTGAGCCTGTGTTATGACCTTGGCTCCCTGCCTATCTGCTTCCAACAAGGGGGTGAAGCTCCTGTGGAATGTGCTTTGTGCTCTCTGCACACAGTATTCTCTTAACTCAGCAGTATGAAATGTCATGAAACAGTGTAACTCACTCACAGTAAATCAACAGTATAGGATAATACAAACCTATCTAATGAATCTAATGATTTTCACATTCTTTTGTAATTCAGAAGCATAATGCAAACTAGAACTACAGCTACAAACTAATTATACTCTCTATAATAAGGAGTATGGTGTGGCTTACAGCAGTATAATGATTCACTCATTTCGATTATAGACATAGGATAACATATGATAAAATAATAATCTCACAATTCCCTCTTTGATCTCTTTTTAAAGAGATCACCAGTAAATCAGAACTACGCTAAACATGAGACGATGTGACCGGTAACATAGAAAAACTAAGGGGTTAAATATGCAGGATGACGAGAGGATGGGCAACAGGTGGAAACGCAGCTGGAACAAATCTGTCTAATGAAACAGGGGAAGCAAAACTAAACATCTACACGGGGTAAGACACTATCACAATAAAACAGGAAACAGACATCGACGACTCAGGTACCATCACAACTATAGTAAAAAACAAAACAAAACAAATCATTAATAACATTAACACTTCAATGGAAAGTCAGAATTTAAGCCCCGTCCCCCAAATAAATAAATAAATAAATAAATAAAATTAAAAATAGGGTCACAATAGCTGGGGTTTGTTAGTGAAGAAGGTCGAAAAGTTAGGAGTGGGAGTCATTTGGACTGGAACTGGAATTTAGAGTTCCAATTCCAAAAATGCAAATAAAACAAATGTTAGTAAATAAGATATCAACCTGTATTTTATTCACAGTAGAACACGGAAAACATATCAAATGTTTAAACTGAGAAAATAAACAGTTTTAAGAAAAATATTTTCCCGTTTTGAATGCAACATAACAAATCTCAAAAAAAGTTGAGACAGGATTGTGTTTATGAGTGTTTATCATCCCCTCTTCTTTTAATAACACTCCTTAAATGTCTCATAAATGAAGAGGCAAGTCGCTAAACTGTTGATCAAGGATTGCTGTCTGATATAGGATTCATTCTGCTTTTCTGTATTTCTCTTAAATCAGGTTGAGCGGATCGGGGATGATGTGATCAACAGTGTAAAAAAATGACATGCAGACGTTTTGGACTTACTTTATTGTAGTTTTAACTATATGGCCAATTGGGATGCAGTTTGGAGCATGGAGAAATTATTTTAAACATGAGTTGTTTTGGGACTTTATTTTGAAAATGTTTATTCACAATAAAAAAACATTGATTTTTATTTTGGAACAATCTACAAGACTCTTTGATCATCCTTCAAGAAAATGGCACACTGTGTTTCTCTGATATCTAATTAACAAATTCAGCTGTTTTACCTCTGGCTTTCTGCCCAGATGCTCTGCTACACAAAAAACAAGTGGGTTGCCATTACAAACATCATGCAGGTGAAAATATTTTTCCATACACACTCTGAGCAGATGTAAAACCCAGCATTTAACAGTATACAAGTAAGATATCAGAGCTCACTGCATCAACCTGATGGGAAGAACGTGAAAATTTATGATGGAAAAAAAGTGTTTTTTCTAACAGTGACAATTTCAAAATGAATAAAATATATATATTTATAATATATTTATACATACATGCTGGCATTGACAGTAGCCATCGCTAGTGATTTTTAATCTGTATTTTTAGCACCTTTAATATATATAAAATCTTATTGCCCCGCCCCCAAAAAACAAAATAACAAAACAAAAAACAATTACAAAAACAACCCCTTGTCATTCAAGAGCATAAGACAAACTATAGTTGTACAAAACACAGGAATACAGTAATGAAGTGCAATGAGTGGTTTTCAGTGTCAGGGTGGAAGAAAACCTGGACATTAAGTGTCAGTGTGACCTCTCAAAGCGGTGTCAGACTATTAGCACATAGCTGGTCTCTGGAGCCACGGCACCAACCACCTTCAAGTCATTCAGTTGTGAAATTTAATAAGTAACACAGTTCAAACAACACATTTTTATTAAAGGATGCCAATGCCTCCATCCTGCATTTCACACTGACACATCTGGATAAAACTAAAGTTCTGGACACTACTCTCTGAACGCTGTTTGTGGACTTCTCATCGTTGCAGTCAGTCACATCTCCATGTCTCAGTTTCAAGTCTGTCTTTGTGAATGTCTCTTGTTTCCTGTTTTACTTTGATAGTCTTGTGTCCTTTGCTAATGTTTCCAGTTTTGCTTCCTTCCCATCTCGTTATGTGTAATTTCTTTCTTTCTTTTTTTTTTTTT